TAATTTCAATATAGTCAGACAATAACAACCCTTGTGTTTGTAATTTTTTTTAAAGATGTAGTAAGAGATAAAAAATTTGATTTTATGAAAATAAGATCTGCGTCTATTCCGTTTTTATTGATATATTTTTTTGCTACTTTGATGCTGACTGCATCGTCATTGTCGAGTAATTCAAAAAATAGAACGAATTGTGCTCAAATTATCACAGTAATAATTCGCTGCATTGATCCACGTACCCCAACGGGTAATTACAGGCTCTGGAGGTAGACTTATTTCAGGGACTTTGGATTTAAAAATTTGAACGCGACTCGGAGCTTTTCTGAAAGTTTTTTTTAACGCTAGCTATGAGCTTATCGACTGATTTAAATTGACCTCTTATTTCTTCTGCCACTCGATGTAAACCATGAGCAGCACACGTAACATGGATCATTTTAGAGTATAGGGCTTTAAGCATTTCACCTGATTTTACCATGTATGGCGCTGCGTCTGATAAAAATAGTAACACGTTATCACGCTGAATACCCATTAACTGTATAGAATCATCGAAAAGTTTACTTATTGTTGAGAAGTTGGTTTTTTTCTAGTTCTTTACAGTTTACTAAAAATTGTTTCCCTGGTTTATCTAGTTCCAAAGTTCCCACTACAACATTCGCTATGTAACGTCCCTCAATGTCTGTTGTCTCGTCAATGCTAACCCATACTTTTTTATTTAAAATTTCCGATTTTATTTTTTTCAACTGTTTCATCGTATAAATCATCGACATAGCCTTGCCTTAAAGTAGCTTCCGTTGGAATTTCTTTTCCCGTATAAGTTTCCAAGAAATTACGAAATGTATTGTTTGAAAGTTTATTTAAAGGTATATTAGCAGATAATAGAGCATGACATAAATCTTTGTTGAAAGATGATTTTTTACTTGAATTCATAAGAAGTTGTTGTGTTTTTTCTGTTTTTTCCTGTCGGCGTTTAATTGCTTTGGTATGTTTTTCCGTTTTCAGATGCTGTGTTACGTTGAATCTTTTTTCACAGTTAACTTTAATTTCGCAGTATTTACAAAAAAAGCATTGACGAATCATATGAAAACGTATCCGCACCAAATTCACGTACATAGCTTCTTAAACGTTGACCTAACGATATTTTTTCTTTAGGCATAATTTAAAAACGTATATAAAAATCAAACAGCAGTCAATGAAAGAATATAGTACAAGTTAAAATAACACGCACGGTTACACGAAAACGGTCACAATCACTATTCGACGTACCAAGACTTACTAAATACTAAATGTACGATAACTAATAAGGACTTTACAGAATACACTACGTCTTTAAGAAACAATTAAGATACGAAATACAATAATTTATTGTATTTCGTATCATATCGTATAATGTTTATTGTCAATAAACATTATATCTCCTATATTACTGGAATATTTTTATATTTTATCTATAATAGGTTATAGGCAGCGTGGACGCGTGGTGCCGATAAACTTACATTAGGTGAACCTATTTGCTGTGTAAAGCCGCGTTTACATTATAAAAGCGAACAAACGAACAAAATAGTTTTCAGACCGAATTGGCGTCCACACTAAATAGTCCTAATGTAAACGCGGCTTTATACATTTTTACATTTACTTTTGTAAAATAGGAATTTAATAAAGCGACACTTACCGTTGACTAGGTACAAACATCAAAACAACTTAATTTTTTTCAGATTAACAAATTATAGGCAAAAATAGCATGATACTTATAAAAATAGCAAAAATAATGCAAAAACACTTAAATATGCAAAAATATGCACTAAAAACTTTTAAAGCTGCGTTCATTTTAGTATGAAACGAATTTGTAGCTTACTCTGCTATATTTTAATGTACTGTAAATAAATATGCAAATGCTAGAAGTCTCGAGCCCTGGTAATGACTAACGTAAAGTACGTAGGAATAAACTATAAACAGGACAAAATAATAATTATATTATCAGTTGTTATTATTGTAATATGTTATTGATCTAAAAATAACCTCCCGTTCCTTTAGTCATAATTACGATTTCAAGATAATGTTCATACTGTCTATCACACTTTAATAGATATGCAATGGTATTATTATTATTATTGTATTATTTTTATTCCTAACCCAACTAATGCGATTATTGTAAATTGCGATGACATAATACATAATAAGAGAAACCTAAAATTAATGTTAACTTCTATGAAATAATTCAAGGAAAATTTTTTAGTCTTATAACACGTATGTTAAATTATAAAAAATTACATTTTTTCTTAACTTATGATGATTTAAATATTTGTACAGTTGGATTATCTGGAGACGAAATTATACCGTTATCTCTGTAAAAATTGCCAGGGGGCAGTGCTACAATACGCCACTGCCTTAAGGCTTAAAGATAACTTGGGTACTATTCATTTTTTTTATTATTTGGTTGAATTAAAAAAAAAAAATAACATGGATTTTAGTTCATAAGATAAATAACAGTTTAAATCTTTACTTTTTAAGATATATTAACTTATTTTAGATAGTTATGATCAGGGCTCGGGACTTTATGTGCTTAAAATCTTAAAAATATGCGCTTTAATATGCATTTATTTTTAATTAAAAAATACATACTTATTCAAATTTAATTTAAAAAAAAAACATATCTTGTATATATGACTAAAAATGTATATTTTATACATGCTATATTAATAAAATAAAATGTAAAAACTGTTGAATTGGAGGTCTTTGGATTTTTCAACACTCAGCATCATCTATACCTAGCAATTATAATTTTTATGTATTAAAAAATAATCATTTTATAATTCTAATTATGTACTTACTTGCGTTACACTGGATTATCAAATGTTTTTTTATGTTCTCGACTTTGAAAGACCTTCTATTATTTGTAAGTAAAATTTTATAGGCGGAAAATGATCTTTCTACGTTTACCGATGTGATGGGAGCATATTTAAAATATGTCAGATCATTAATATCTAAGTCTTCTGGTAAGTCTTTCATGTCAATTAATTCACCATTAAAAATGTTTTTAATTTTCTTTAGCATAGCAAGACCAACATTTTTCCTCAATACATTTTCCATCTTTGTACAGATATTTTTCCCAGTTGTCCCAGTAAGACATTTCATTGCAACACTTACATTGTCAATAATTTCAATTGAATCAGCTAAAGAAACACCTTCAGTTTGCAATTTTGTAATTGATGTAGTAAGATAACTAAAATTTGATTTTATGTAGACTAAATCATTTTTAATGTGAGGTGTTGCCAAGTATTTTTTTGCATTTTTTATACTCAAAGCATCCTCTGAATCTAATTTATTTACAATATTGAAAATTATCTCAAAGTGTTCACAGTAATATATGGCTGCATTTATCCAGGTGCCCCATCGTGTTATTAGTGGCTCTGGAGGTAAAGGTAAATCCGGTGCCTCAGTTTTAAAAAGAAGCATACGAGATGGAGCTTTTCTAAATATTTTTTTGATATTTGAAATCAGCTGATCAACAGATTCATATTGGCTTCGTACTTGTTCAGCCACCCTGTGTAGCCCGTGAGCAGTACATGTAACGTGTATCATTTTGGAATATAAAGCATTTAACGTTTGACCACATTTGACCATGTAAGGTGCTGCGTCTGACAAAAATAATAAAACATTGTCATGTTTTATACCATCTGGCCATAATATAGATAGAGATTTGTCAAATAGCTTACTAACTGTAGAATAATTAGCTTTTTCCAGTTCTTCAGTGTTCAAAAGAAATATTTTTCCAGATTTTTCAGCTTCCAAAGTACCGATAATCACGTTTGCGATAAATCGACCTTCAGCATCGGTCGTTTCGTCGATCGATATCCAAATTTTATGATCAGAAATATATTCTCTTATTTTTTGCATAGTTTCAATAAAACAATCATCAATATAGCCTTTTCTTAAAGTTGTTTCGTATGGTATCTCTTTCCCTGTGTAAGATTCCAAAAAATGTCTAAATACTTGGTTCGATAATTTATTAAATGGAATGTTAGCCGACAGCAATGCTTTACATAAGTCCATATTGAAAGTAGACTTTTTAGTTGTATTAGTTTGTGTAATCATTTGTTGGGTTCTTGTATTGAATATTTCCCTCCGTTTAATCATTTTCACATGTTTAACTGTTTGTATATGTTGTATTACACTAGATCGCCGTTCATATTCTACTTTAATTTCACATATTTTGCAGAATAAAACTCTTCCGTCTGTGGAAAATACATTATCCCCAAATTCCGAAATAAAACTTTTTAACCGACTAACTTGTGTTTTTTTTTCTTTTGACATATTATAACACAAATACGAGCACTAATAAATACAAAATAACGAATACAAATACGAACACGACAACGATTGACGATATATGCATTAACACGATAACGATCGTAGTCCGTCGATCACTGTGTACTGGGCACTGGCAAACAAAATAATACTGTAAATGTAAAAAACAGATTAAATAATAATAATATTGTCTTCAGAGCTATAAATAAAATGGGTTCCCCATAACGCTATTGATTATCGCCTTATCGGTATTATTGCTGACAAAATCATGTAGATAAAATTGATTAATTTACTAAAAATATGATTTAAGAAAAAAATAATCAAAAATAATTTTAAAATATGCAATAAAAATCAATAAATATTAAAAATATGCATTTGTAGAAAAAAATTCCAAAATATGCAAACATATGCACAATAAACTTTTAAACTTTAACTCCAAACACCACAACACAAATTTGTATCGGATCAGTTTTATTTTATTTACGTCCCGAACAAATATGCAAATGCATAAAGTCCCGAGCCCTGGTTATGATATTTCTGAAATTCTTGAAAACTGTGGATCAGTACAAGGACAAAAACCTCATGTAAATCAGAGTGAAAATGCTGATCAAGAGATTGACCAAACAACTTTTATAAGTAGTTTATAGATGATTACTAGCATTGAAATACATCCACAAAAATTAAAATAATGTATAAATTCATTTATTTTAGCTGATAATCAATGTATCACAGAATCTCTTAATGATTGTGAAAATAGTGTCTCATTACAACAAATGGAGTGTAATTATGTTGATAAATTGGTTGATACAGTAAATGTTAAAAGTAAGATATTTATAACAATAATGCTATGAAATTAATTATTGATGTTAGTTTATATGCAGTATTGCAATTTTTAGATTACATAAAATGTAGTAACAAATAGTAAGATATTATCATATTGATATTTTATGAATACTAACTTTATAACAATCTTGTATTATTTTATTTATTATTAAATTGTGTTACTAGTTACCATAATTTTCTACCAATTTTATTACTAAAAATTGTAAGACTTTTTTTAGTCACATTAATTTCACATTCACACAGTAGGAGGTAACATTGATGTTTGGTAGATAATATGATTAATGAAAAGTTATAGACAGTGAAACTTAAGCTTCTTTATTATATTTAAATTATAAAAACATCAAAATTTCAATCAATATCATTGTTTTATTTCTAATCCTTATCATTTTTTTTGTAAATAGATGTGACTGCATAGTTGATAAATTGAATTTGAAACTGTTGTACCCTACTGACCGTGGACATTTTAACGAAGATATATCAGATTCCCTTAAACGGAGCATTTTATTATTTGGGTCATGTAAACCTTCAATCGAATTTGAGAAAGATGATAAAAATAGATCTTTTTCATTGAGTTATTATAATATGATTACCAAGACTGGCTTAAAAATTCCACGTTCTTGGCTATGTTATTCTGTAATTTTAAATAAAGCTTATTGTGAATCATGTTGGTTATTTGCAAACAGAAATAATTCAAACTATAGGTCTGAATGGATATCTGGTATAGGTGATTGGCAACATTTATCATATTTAATAACTCGTCATGAAAAATCTTTACAACATATTGAAGCCACAACAGTCAAAGGAACCTGGTTAAAAAATTCTACAATTGATAAAAGTATAGAACAAAATTTATCTAAAGAAGCAGAATATTGGCGAAATATTCTACATCGCATCATAAAAGTTATTTCAACTCTCACAGCAGGAAACACTGCTTTAAGAGGGAATGAAGGTAAGAAAGGTGATAAGTCAGAACAGCTTGAAGGTAATTTTATGCGAACAATTCGTTTATTAGCTGATTTTGACCCATTACTTAATGAACTTTTAAATGATCCTACCAAACATATTAAATATTTAAGTTGGAAAGTTCAAAATGAATTGATCGAAATTTTATCTGAAATTTATGTCATATTATATGTGAAGAAATAATAAGTAGTTCCATTTTCTCAATCATATAGGACTCTACCCAAGACATATCAAAAATCAACCAAGTCAGTATTATTATACGGTATGTGATTGTTGACTATGAAACACATACAATTAATATTAAAGAATCATTTTTAGGATTTTATGCTTTAGAACAACATGGAGCAATAGATTATGCATAGTTAATACAAGATGTTTTACACAAATATAATATAAATATAAAAAATTGTAGAGGATAAGGATACGATGGAGCATCAGTTATGGGTGGACAATACTCTGGAGTCCAAAAAAGAATAAATAATATTGTTCCAACTGCATCATTTGTCCATTGTTGTGCTCATAACTTAAACTTAGTGATATCTGATGCCTCAAAAATTTCACCAAGCATATCAAGATTTTTTGAAACTGTACAGAATGTGTATAATTTCTTTAGCTCAAGTGGATCTCGATGGGCATCATTGGCATTAGAAGATAACACAGCATCAAAAATTAGAAGAAAAGTATTAAAGAAAGTGTGTTCTACCCGATGGGAATCTAGACATACTGCAGTATTTGCATTAAAAGAACGGTTCACGGATGTAATCAAATGTTTAACAATAACATCACTTACGGGTAGTAAAAAAGATGAACGAGATATGGGTAAAACACTTAAAAATAAGATTGAATCGAGTGAATTTATATTAATTTTATATATTTGGGAAAATATTTTAAGATATTTAAATACTGTATCTAAAATGTTACAAAGTATGGATATTTCATTAGAAAATGCCTCCATGCTTCTGGATAAAGCTATTCAAAATATGCAACATTTACGAAATGACTACCACACAATATATTTAGAATCGAAACGTTTATGTGATGAATGGGGAATTGATGTTTCATTCCATTCTTCGAGACCCAAGTTCTATAAAAAAGTATTTGGAGAGGTTGACGGTGACCGAAGATTTGATATTTCTCAAGATACATTTAGGATTAAAGTACTTTTACCAGTTGTGGATTGTATAATATTTAAACTTAAGGAAAGGTTTAATGGAATGAAATGTGTTTTTGATCGTTTCAAATTTTTAAGTCCGAAATCAATTTTGAACTATGATCAGTCTTCCCTAATTAAATCTACTTATGATTTTATCCAATTTTATAAAGATGATATAAGTTTAGATTTCACACGGCAAATTGTATGTCTAATGTTGCGTCCCTTATGTCAACGTCGATTCATATATCAACGTAGAAATAGAAATACTAATGTTTGCAAGTTAAAAGATTAAGTCTTTATTTAATACAATTAACTCGTACAAGAATACAATTTTATAAGCACAAGATGGTGTGAGTGGTGTTACGACCTGCCTCTGAGCGTCTCGAATATCCCTAACCGTCTGCTGAGCTCTTGCCCCGGTCTCCCTTATATAATGGTTAACCGTCAAAAGTGGTGATTGGGAAGGTGGCGACTTCCGATGACCTAAAGCAGCTCTCTAAATTAAATGTATTATTCAGTTGGGTGCCTTTCCTACGATTTCATCGGTTCTAAGAATTACAAGACGTGTGATCAAGTCTTAAGAGGGCGTCACAGTAAAAGTGAAACGTATACAACGCTCAAGAGATGGCGTTGAATTTCATATCGCCGCCGTCGCGGTAGGCCGTAACCACGCCTATCATGTACGCGACGGGGTCCGCGTGTTGTTATTGCGGGAGAGGTACATTATTATTTCACAGACTGCCGTTTAGAACGTTTCGCGTCAAACGTCATTACAGGCCGTTACGTAAATTGTCGCCCGTGAATTCTATACGGTGCGCTGACTCGCTACTGGCTAGCAAGTCGCAAACCTATTTTTTAATTAAAGCTCCTGTTTGCTTAAAAATATTAACCAATAAATTAAGCATACAAATTATTATACACCAGAACTCGATTTATATTTCTAACCCAATTACTTTTTAAAATACATATAAAATAATAATTTCATTACGATTAAATAGATTTTTTAGTAAAAGTGTTACGTATTTTACGTTGTAACTTATAAATGACATGAAGCAATTTTTGTTCGATAATTTAATTTTTTATTTATTAATAACATTTTAAATAGTTCTGATTAGTGATATTGATATAATATTTTATATTAGTATATATTGATGTATTTACTTATTTTAATTTTAAACATAATACCTACATAAAATATGAAGTTGATTGTTGTACATAATATTTATTAAATAAATACCTACTGTAATAATATAATTATTTATATTATTGCAATTGCAGTACCTATATGTAAAAAAAACAATATGTATAAACTAAACATTTTTATTGTTCATATAATATATATAAATTAAAATTAAATTATGTAGGTACTTACAAATGTACAGAGCACATTTATTTACACATAATGATTAATTAAAACACAACATTTGGATTAATGACAATTTATAATAATTGATAACTTAAATTAATGCTAGCGGTCATATAGATAATGGATAACTGACTTACTATAATATTATATTACACCTATACTTTAATTTTAAAAATGTCATAATATGTACGTGAAATTATCTATATAAAATTTGCATAGTTATGTGTACAATAATAAAATGTAATATAATACATAACATTATACAATTAACATTTTATGTATTTATTTTGCGTTGTAATAAAAAAAAATCATCTGCAACAATATTTATAGTTCCATATAAAATTAATTTTTATAGAAACTAAATAATTTAATATATGAATAAATACATATGATACAAATATTTTTAAATAAAAATGGGTACAAATATTATTTTTTTTTTTTAATTTTGACGGTTTTAAACCATTTCAAACGGAAGATTTGGATAAATATTGGTTTTATTATTATAACGCAAAACATTTTTTCTTTCCAAAGAGTCGTCATCAAACTCTTGATTTTTAATGTATTTTTATGAGATCAAAGTATTAAGTTATGGGTAATGCTAGAAAAAAATGCTGCTAAAAGCTTTGTACTCCACCCAAAGGTTTGATATAAAAAAGTTATATTAATACCTGTGTCAACAATAGTTAATACTGATTTTGCAACAAAGAATATTCCCATTAGCCAAGTTCCAATTGTTGTAAACCAACCCCATAATTTAATTAACTTATCTTCTACCATTTTTCCAAGCGTGTTTTCATCTATCAAATATTTTAATTGCAGACCTTGGTTAGTGGTATCATATCCCATAGATTGTCTGATTATATTATTCGTAGCAGCTTTCACTTCTTGCAGGAACAATATATGCTGTTGGAAAGCTTTCATTGTATCCTGCGTGTTTATACCAGCATTCATAAGAAATTCCGGACTTTTATACGACCATGTCCAGGACATGGCCGGTTTAAGCCTTTGTGGTTTTTTAATTTCTTGTATGTTTGGCAGAACGGCAAACCAATCACCGCCCAATTTGAACGCAGGTGGTAAAAGCACATTGCAGTACACTCGTATTCCAAATTGCTGTAAAATTTGGATTTTGGGCGCCATAAATAATGTTTTATTATTATATAATACTGGCGGTTCATTAAAAAAATTTTTTTTTTTTTGTGAAATTTCTACGTTGACTTTTTTAAATTTTATCAAGTAGATAATTTCACTGACTTTTATTGCGGTAAACCCTGGTCCACCGCCCATTAAATATGCAAATTCTGAAACCTAAATGTTGATCTAAATCCGTGTCTTTTTTCAGAAATAAATGTCATGTTCAAAAATTAACATCCAAATGACCCTTGATGAACACTATTTTTAATTTGACTAAAAACGTAATGTATATCCACTATTTGTCTTCCCGAACTTTCATTTACATCGCATGGCCTGTTATAACATTTAAATAATAATATTTAATTTTTATAACTGTTATAACCAATATTTAAAATGGATAAAATACGCTGATTTTTCAAAAATAATAACAAATTCGCGAATTAGTAGACTCATCTATTCAATCAAATTTTAAATTAAAAATCATACTTGGTTTCTTGAATAATAGATATAGATTCATCAAATGTCAAGTTATGTAAAACTTTTTCAGTACCCCAATCATTAGTTTCATTATCCCTCAAATCCACCATTTTGCTAAAAAATTAAAAAAAACATATGTATAAAAAATAAAAAATAATTATAGATTTAGTTTTCATACAATAAAACTTAGATGGTTATAAACTATTAAAATTTACCTAATTGTTTCTCTCGATGAGCATGGTGGTTGATTGTTAGCACCTAAGAAAAAAGGTTCCACAACAGATTCTACAGTCTCTGAATTGTGACTTAAAAAAAAAAAATGCTGTTATAAAATAATCACACTAATACATACGTATGTATATAATTATTATTATTATACGTAGGTATGTTATTTATTATAATCTAATTAAAATAAATTTAAATAGCAACCTACAATAAGTTATTACATTTTAAAACTTTACCTAATCGTTTCTCTCGATGAGCATGGGGGTTGATTGCCAGCACCTAAGAAAAAAGATTCCACAACAGGTTCTACGACATCTGGGTTGGGACTTTGTTCACACAAATTTAGTCAAATTAATAACCATATTTGATAATAATATAATAAATAGTTATACTTAGTTTTGGCACGAATTCCTAGAATATTAATCACTTGAGAACTCTGCGATTTTTTAACTAATAATTTTTTTGATGGGAAGTGACGAGTTTTTTTTTAGGTTGATCCATTTTTACGTTAAAAATGTTAACAGTTGGACAAAATGACAATATTTGTGTTCATTTACTTTGATATTTACTGTCATCATTTATAATCAATAATTGAATAATTAAATAATTATTATTTAGATACTCACCCTCTTTCATGTTACCGACGGGCGACAACGTGAATACGATAAGTGTCGATAACAAATAAAAATATAAAGTTTATACGGATCAAGCGAATGATCGACCTTCGCCGTATAATAGGCTATATGGATTATTTATCATATCATACATTTATTCAAACAAGGGCGCCCATAGGTAAATTCTCAAGGGGGGGACAAAATCTTAA